CCTGCAACCACTGTTCCTTGAGATTCTCCTCTTCGATATCGTCTCACTTCATCTCTTCCGTAGTCCGTGACATAGAGAGATCCATTCTCGTCCATTGTCAAACCCACACATAAGATGTTGGAGATGATTGTTTCTCCACTTGTCCCATTTCGACGAGGCCATCGAACCACTCTTCTATTCGAAAAATCGCATATGATGAGACTATCTCTCTCTTTGTCGATAATCACATCTGTTGGGTTAGACAATTGATGATCTCCACTTCCTTGTCCATTTCCACCGGCAACCACTTGGCCACTTGTTGCACCTCGTTTCCATTCCACAATACGGTGATTCGCTCGATCAGCAACATAAATTGTTTGATCATTATCAACATACAAACCCCATGGGTTTGAGAGTTGATTGATTCCATTGCCTTGTCGATTTCCTCCAGATACAGTGATACCATTCTGTTGCCATCGAGCATTCGGATGAATATCAATAGAACTCCCACGTAATGGATGAACTGAAATCGAGAGAGAAAGGAGAGAGAGAATAAAATAAGAGAGAAAAAAGTGAAAAGTTCATTTAAATTTTTTGCAAAATCAACATCGTTCCAAATTTTGACTTGTTTCAGATTTCTTATTTTGACACTGAGGTGTTTTCGTTTTGGTTTTCTTTATTACTTTATTTATCATAGAATAACTATTGATATATGTTCTTTTTTTTTGTTTTTCTTTTCGACTATCTTGATATCTTACATTTTGAATTAGTAGACTTCAAAAAAAGAATTTAGTAGAGTTGAAATGTAAGTCATCGTACGGAATTAATAAATCATTAATACAAATAATTAAAGTTCTTTTTGTTTTGCTTGGAAAGAGAAATAGATCACGATAATCATTCTATTACAAATAATGAATTTTCTTTTTGAGTTTTATGAAAGATGTAATTATGAGTATGTATATACAGGGTGATTGAAAAGTAACTAGCTATTTTAAATTCTTTATTACTCTCATACAACAAAAGATATCGTCCTGATTTTGTGGAACTCACGTATATTTTTGAAGAAAATAGTGAGTGTAAGTTTTAAGTTCGAGGTTTTGCGGCTCCCCCC